GCTGCCTCAGCAGCTTGTGCGAGGAGGTCTGCAGTGTGCCCGAAGACGAAGTGGGCAGAGAAGTGTAGTGTAGCGATAGGGTAGTGGCAGCTAGCACTGCCATAGCCATAGCCTAGTGTGTGTGTGTTGTGTATGAACACTGAGTGTTGCGTGTGGGACATCCAGGGTGATCCAGAGTGCGAACAGTGAGTTGTGTGAGTGCCCAGTCGCCATAGCCAGTTGAAGAGAACTCATATCTGGTTACGATATCTTAAGTACTGTCAGGGCGCATGTCGCCAGTTGCTGTATCGCTGTTTGCATGCAAGACAAGTGTGAATAATCGGAGTGTCAATGCAACAGCTTGTTTAACCCCATCCATATCCATTCACATTTGTTGCTAGTCATCAATTAAGCCTACCGGGTAATTGGTGAACTCATCCATTACACACAAGCTAACCCCGGTGCTCAGCTCCTGATGACCAATGCATGCAATCCGATATGTCTCATTGATCAGTCATGCTCAATCAACCAGCACCCATGAAATGAGCGCGCAACTACTGCTTGTTAACAACCACTTGGTTTAAACCACCACCACTGGGTAGTCCTCATCGCTAGCTCCAGTCATTCACCACAAGTTAACGCCAGTGCTTGGCTTCTGATCACTAAGCAAAGTGATGCCGTCCATTGACTGATAATCGTCAATAAACTTCCGTCAACTGAGGCCGCTGACTAATTAGTAATTAGTAATTAGTAATTAGTAATTAACCATCACCAGATCAACACTTCCTAAACTTACTTAAACACCACATAATCACAATGCTTTTTTAGCGGCCATAGGCAATCAGGTTCGGTTAATGATCGTTAATACTAGTGTGTGAAACAACTTAAACCCTGGAGCTTAAACACCGAGGTAACCCCAGTGCTGACTGTTTGATGACTCAGCAACGTCATACTATACAAGTTGTTAAGCGGCCACAATCAACAAGCAGTCTTAAATTCTCTTAATTAACTAGACAACTGATGTCAATATTGTTCTACAATCGACAGAATGAAAGTCGATAACGAGGAAGAGCAAACTGCAGGGTCTCTCCTCTCAACACTGCCCCACATGCATGCCTCTTTTCTTTGCTTTTCGCTTTTTAATCCGCCAACTCGCACCCTCACTTCTTTTCCTCTCTCTGACTTAGGGCATTCTCACTCTAGGCCCTCGAAATCGCAAAATGATTGGCCAGATTGAGTTCTTGTAAACGAAGGAATCTATCTGGCCGCTCATTTTGTGATTTTGTGATTTTGAGGGCCTAGTGTGAGTATACCTTAGTGATATGTCTTCTTCTTCTTCTTCTTCTTCTTCTTCTTCTTCTTTTTTGTTTTTTTGCTTTCTTTCTTAGTGATATGTCTTCATCCACACTTACCGATTCAGAAGGCTGTGGTTCCATGTACTTTATAAGCGTTGCCATTATCCCCCACCCAATGTTCATGGCCTTTCCATCGGAACGTGACATGTGTGTGCGAGGATGCTGCATTCCACATGAACCCATAACCACCATTAAGAAAGGTGTTAGCGACACACCATGGTGCCTTGCAGCCTACACGGACTTTCTTGCTTCAAGTTAGATCAGATAAGAGTACCATTTCTGCAGCCTTGTGATATTCCCTCGCCATGGACTATAAACACCAGACCCCAACGGTGCAATGTGTTGGGGCCTTAAGCACCAGAGCCCAACCCTACAATAATCACCAGACAGCAGCCTTGCCCTATACAACCTGTTGTCATTTCACCCACAAGCAAAGCGTAAAAATACAAAGAGAACAGAAGGATATTCAAAATCAAACAAAAACGTGCATACAATTTAAAAAAACTGAAAAAAAGAACCTCTCTCTCTCTCTCTCTCTCTCTCTCTCTCTCTCTCTCTCTCTCTCTCTCTCTCTCTCTCTCTCTCTCTCTCTCTCTC